TATGGATCTTAATATCGTGAATAATGATAAAACGTTTCTTTTTTACTGGCGCATTAGTAAAAAAGAAGTTGATGAGGCTTTAAAGAAAACCAAGGGTGGAAAGTCTGTAGGACCTGATGATATCTTAATTAAAGTGTGGAAATATTTGGGAGATTTGGGAGTTTCTTGGCTTACTAAACTCTTTAATATTATTTTAAAAACTAAAAAGATGCCTGATGAGTGGAATATATTCTTCATCATCTTTAATATATAATAAGTCCACTATAAGCAGAATTCTTAGCGACACAAATTATTCTTTTAGATTCCCTACAGGTCACCTAATATTTTTCCCATTTCTCTAAACTCTTATATTTAAACTAAATTTTATACTACAACTTATATTTTATTTTTTTGTTGCACATAATTATTCTCTCACCAATTATTTTTATTTACAAATTTTTTTTAATCTTTAAGTACATCTTTTATCACTTATTTAATAGTGTTTGTTACACATAAAATTAGTATCTTTATGACATTCCAAAAATTGAAATATTGAAGTTTACTCATAAAAAAAACAATGTGTCTTTTAAGTGACCTGATCTAATTCCATCACAATATTTTATTGTATTTTTTATCTTATAATTTTTTATCTTAAAATCCAAAACTAATAATTGATATTGAATACTTAAAATTTTCACTTGTAATGATCTTACAATTTTTATATTTTCAACGATCTCTTTTTTTCATAAGAAAATAATCAATTTGGGTTTTATTAGATCTATTTTTATAAGAAATAACATGTTCATCCCTTTTCTTAAATAAAATATTAACAATAATAAACTCATAAGATAAAGCAAAACCTAATATAGTACTACCTTCTTTATTAAACGCTCCAAAATTGTAATCACCATGAATATTTATAAAATCCTCTATCATTCTACCAACATGTCAATTTAAATCTCCTCTAATAAAAATTATTTATTCAACAGGTATCATTTGTATTAATTCTCTAGGTCTTTCAAAAATTTTTCTTTATCTAAATCTACTTGAGGTGCATAAACACTTATAACATTAAAAATCTTCGTACCAACAACAATCTTTAGGGCTATATAAATTAGGGTTATATTTTTATCTCCAATTCTATTAATTTTTGACAACATTATCTTTGAGAGTCTTATCTATAATTACACCTACATCATTTCTAGTGCAACTCCTACCAGAATACCAAAGTTTAAAACCTAAGCTATCAATCACCCTAATATTTTCTCCAACCTATTTAGTCTATAGAATGCATAAGATATTTATCTTCCTATGAATCATGATATCTACTAATTTGATTAATTTACCTATGAGAGTACCTATATTCCAAAATTTTATCTTAATATTAATTTCATGGACTTACTTTTTTTGCTTGCAACAGTCCATAATGTGAGAATTCTTGTTTATTTGACACTACATATGAGGGTCAATGTATCGGCCCTTGTACACTTTTCACTATATTCAAATCATACTACGCGTCACTTCCAGGGGACACCCTAACATTTACACATTATGCCATGATTTTCCGATAAAAATTTTACATTGGTTGCCGACTACCGAACGCAACGCTCCACATAAATTTTGAAAAATAGTCTACATTAAAATTTTGGAACATGATATATGGATTAGTTTTTATATGCTAGATCTAAATCTTTGATTTCTAGCAATCCAATCAAAATAAAGCAACCAAAAAAATCAATATTAGAACCAGATGATTTTTTATATAATAGACTGATTCATCAGTTCAACCTAAAGTTCCGAGCAAAAATAATTTTAGAATTGGATAGAATCAGCCAGAAAATTGCATCATGGCTACACCAGTCCAATTCAATTTTTAAAACATCGGAAACCAATAAAATAGATTTACAAAAGTCTCTTTAAGTAACACTGAAATAAACTTTATTTGGTTACAAAACTAAGGCAAGATTTTGTTAGGATTAAAGCTAAAATTTTACTATAACATTTTAGCAACATAAATTTTGCAATCTACTTAAAAAATAAAATTAAAAAAAAAAATTACAATCTACCTAAATTTCAATTTTCTCTTGTTTTAAGTTAAATACCAAACTGAATTACATTTGGGATCGGCTTTAAGCCCATATCTTTTTGCTTTAGTTATGGATGGTCTTACTGGACATCTACAAGAGGATGTACCTTGGTGTATGCTTTTTGCTGATGATATTCTTCTCGTGGATAAAACGAGAGAAAAAGCCCAGGAAAAACTTGAATTATGGAGGTCTACATTGGAGTCTAAAGGCCTTCGTTTAAGTAGAACTAAAACTGAATACATGGAATGTAATTTTAGTAGTAATAGCTCTAGTGACAGAAGTGTGACTTTGGGTGATCAAATTATTAAAAGGTGTGAACGATTTAGATATCTTGGGTCCGTTGTCCAAAGCGATGGTGATATAGATGGGGATGTTAATAGTAGAATTCAAGTTGGTTGGTTGAAGCGGAGGAATGCTTCGGGCCTTTTGTGTGATAGAAAAGTACCGCTTAGACTGAAAGGAAAATTTTATAAGATGGTGGTGAGACCTGCAATGCTCTATGGCGCTGAATGTTGGCCTTTAAAAGAGAAGCATAATAATAAGTTAAGTGTTGCCGAGATGAGAATGATTAGGTGGATGAGTGGCTTTACACTTAGAGACAAAATGCGGAATGAATATATTCGTGATAGGGTTGGTGTAGCTCCTGTGACGGACAAAATTAGAGAAAGTCGTCTTAGATGGTTTGGTCACATTAAACGTCGGCCATCTGATGACCCAATTAGGAGAGTAGATGTTTTAGATTCGACTTGTGTTAAGAAAGGCAGAGGGTGACCCAGGAAGACTTGGGCTTATTGTATTAAAAATGATCTTAATTTACTAGAACTAAATGAAAATATGACACTAAATAGGACGCAATGGAGAAAAAGGATTCATGTAGCCGACCCCACGTTGTGGGATTAAGGCTTTGTTGTTGTTGTTGTAGTGTATTTGTCACATATAAACTTTCATGCACTAACTGATGTAACTTTTGTCATGTGCTCTGCCTCCATATAATTTATTTATTATGTTGACTGTCAAAATATATAAGTCAATTTAATTAATATACCACATGTATGCAGAAATGAAAGTGACAATGGGTATAAAAAAATATAAAAACAACAAATTTGTCTCATAAAATCAACTGATCAAGAACGATGGACCTTTCTATGAATAAAACAAGAATTAAGAACTTAAACTTGCTAGATAACTCTTTCCACAAGGCCCAAGCTACTAAAGACTTTTTGTGCTAATGATTTTTTATGTCCAAGTTCTTGATTTTTGTTAGCTTACTTTTTTAGCCCGGGGGGATGCCGATTTTTCTTTTAATAGTCAAAATGGTTAATACCATCTTGTCGAAAATTAAAATCTTTGATTAACTTTGATAATTGATTTTGTTGGATTGTTTGTGTTTGAGGTTTAAATATACTAAATTTCATAATTTTGATTACTTTCCAATGCGTAAAGCACTAAACTGTATAAACATGATCACCTAATAGATGTATCTTTACACAATCATTGAGATTTAAAATCATTTTGAATTCCAAATGCTTAAATTTATGGATGATAGGCACAGTTTGGCTCAGTCTCTGATTATATCCTGAAACTAGCATTCATTCGGTTGATATTAAGTTCCATTGGTTGTTAATTTTTTGGCCCCTTTGCATACATACCAGCCAATTCTTATGCATTTACATATTGAACATCTGAACTTTCTTAATACATATCTAACATTTGAAATTTCTTTTTTACAATCCCCTGTAATCTTTTTTATCACATAAAAATACCACTATTTTAACATTAACAAGGTAACATGCACCTTTTTCATGCATAGCTAAGGTAGCATGTATGTAAAAATAGAAATTTAGGTGCTAGATATGTGCGTACTTAAGAATTGAGTGGTATGTACATAAATCTTCCTAAGCTTGTTTGCTTACTTTTTCAATTCAAATATTCTTATAATAAAATATAAACATGTCTTTGCATCTTTAGATAAGTATTGGTGCTTCCATTTGTAAAAGCAAGTGATTAAGAAAATGGGCAATTGAAATTTGCCGCTTGAAGGACAGAGTTCAAGTGATATTTATTTTTGAAGCAGCTTAGGAAGATGTTGCTACATTATCACGTGTGTATTTTAATGAATTTATCCTCTTTTTTCTCTGTAAATCCTAATTATTAAAGGCTATGCTTTCTGCTACTCTGGTTACATTTCTAATATTTTTCTATCTGATAACTCTCTTGTAATATTTTTTTTTTGATTGTCTTGTTTTTCCATTGGTTTTCTTCTTTAGTTTTTCGATGGCATGTTTCTTCTTTCTAATGTCAATTAACTTATGCTCTTTTTTCTATACCTTTTTTTTGTTTTGTTAGAACCGGAAGATTCTTGACATATTGTGCATCATGTGCTTTAAGCGAGCTATCTTGCTGATATTGTTTTAAATAACCTTTATGAATTTGTTATTTCCAGGTGGAGAGGGTGGTTCATCACTCTGGAACTCGTCGTATGCGTAGGAGGCCAGCTGCCATTAATTCTTCTGTTGCCTCAACAAGCGCACAAGGTTAGCTCTTCCTCCATTGTCATCTTCATTAGTTTGGTGGGAGAATTGAAGGACATAATTTGTCTATGTTTATGATATTGCTTCTCTTATTTTGATATATCGTCTAAATCTCACTTCATATCTCAATTGATCTCATGATATTATTAGTGAAATTCTGTATTGTTAATATCAGAAAATTCTTTCTCATTTTCAATTTTTAATCTCATCATCATTATCATCCTGTCTTATCTTAAATATTTGGGGTCGACATTATTTTCCATTGTTTTTTATCTATTGTTGTTTGAAGTGTTTAAACTTATTATTTGGTAGTGATTTTGAACAACTTTAATATCTGCAATCTCAGGTGTGCTTCTTTTCTTTACTAATCTCTTGCTTTAATTTTATCAAATCGTCTAATAGGTGCAATTTCTATCACTCATTCCACATATCTAGACCAACTACATCTATTTTTAGGTATCTTTTCTTTAATAAATGCCACTCCAAATTTTTCTTTATTTTAATCATTCCTTAATTTATCTTTTCTATTTTTTGTCACACATCCATATTAATAATTTAATTTTTGTCACGTTTTTCGTATATATCAATGATTTTTGTATAGCCAATTATTTAGTTTCATACAACATTATCGTCTGGTTATAGTTTTGTAAATTCATCTTTAAGTCTCAATAATATTCTTTCATCAAATAAACCCTTGAGATATTTAGTTATTTTAATCCTTCAACCTTAATTTAGATGTTATATCCTTATATATATTATTTAAATTTTTGTATTATATGTCGAAGATACTTTAACTTATTATAATCAGGTATCATCTTATCTTATACTAATATTAAATGATAGTTGTTAACATTATACTATTATAATTACATATCATGTATCTATTCTATGTTCTACTAATTCTAAGGCTTCTATCTTTTAAATATTTTCTTGATTATTCTAATTTTCCGTTTATTCTAGTGGATGCCTCACTAATTAGAATTATATCATCAATAAAATTTTTACACTAAGGCATCTTGCTTTCAATGCCCTTTCTAAGTATCTAAGTATCTCTGTTATCTATAAAGAAGATATGAAAATAATATTAATTTTTAATGTAAACCTAAGTTTCTTTGGCTACTCCACAACTAATTATAATATCATTAGGTGTTCTGCTTTTAATGTTGTGGAATTTCTTCCCAGTAGGAAATCAGCTTTAGGAAGGATTTTATTTCCTTCTCTTAGAATATACTCCAATAATTATGTTTGCTTTATTTGTATTTCCTTTTTTATGTTCTTCCTTATTTAGAGAGATTCCTATTTTCTTTATGTTTATTTTTATATATGCTGCAGAGTTTGGAATAAGATAATAAAATTATTTTTCTAGTTTCTTCATGGTATTAGAACCTCGTCTCTGGTAGTGGAATTATTTGTCCACGTCGACTACGTAGCCTGGATCGCTCGTTCGTCCATCGGTGTTGTTGAATCTGACATTTTGTCTGTTTTCTACGATGAGATTAGGACAGCGTCTCTTTGTCTGCTTTGTTTACATCGATCGACTTGTCTGTCTTGACCACTCATCAGCCCTTTTTGCTTCCTGCGATGAGATTTGGTTGACGTCTCGAGCATCGTATCTTCCGTTACATTCTGTGGTGGTCTACTTTGACTTCATTTCGAGCATTGTCTGCTTCGTTCTACGGCATTGCCTTCGTCACCTTTGTTTGCTTAGGTCGACGTCTTTGGCAGCTGGAATCAGAAATTTACATACCTTACCTCTCCTTTAGCTGCTAGAGCCCCTCTAGCAGTCGTCCAATGGCCGGTAAAGCCACCAGAATCCCTTCAGCTGGGCAGTAGGCCTTCCTCCTCGAGCTGCCTTTTCAACATTTTAATTGTGAGATTGTGCAAGAGTCGGAGCTCCTCCATTCCTACCACAAATAGCAACCTTATGCAGTCCTAGACATGCATAGGGTTTATGACTATGTACCTTCGGAGATTAGTTCTTAATAACAACACAACAACAACAACAAAGCCTTAATCTCACTACGTTGGGTCGGCTACATGAATCCTTTTTCTCCATTGCGTCCTATTTAGTGCATATTTTCATTTAGTTCTAGTAAATTAAGATCATTTTTTATACAATAAGCCCAAGTCTTCCTAGGTCCACCTCTGCCTTTCTTAACACAATTTGAATCTAAAACATCTATTCTTCTAATCGGATTATCAGATGGTTGGACCAAATCATCTAAGACGACTTTCTCTAATTTTTTCCGTCACAGGAGATTATTTCTTAATAAGAGACCAAAAATTATGTCCAAATAGCCCTTAAACTCCATATTTTTATCACAAACCATAAACTCAATGGCCATAACTTCCTTCATAGTCTCACTTCGTGTTTATGTACACTTGCGGAAAAAGGAAAAAAAGGAACATCTCACGGGCGAGGGTACGTTCTGAGCTCTTTGATCTTAACCATTGCTCCTGGGAAGATCCATAATTATATGGTCTTGTCTTGGCTTGGCTGATCAAGTTTATGACCACAAAATATGAGAAAATTTCTTGCTTTACAGGACAACACATGAGATTTGGGAAGATGCTCGTGAGACCTATTCTAGTGTCAAAAGTACTATAATTTTCTTTTGAGATCGAGACAAATTTGCATGAGCTTTGACAAAAATAATTAAGTGTTACTCAATATTTCAATACACTATCAAGATACTGGTTATAGATAAATATGTATGATATACATGTATGGAACTGCTCGCAATATGATATACATCATCACAATATGCTATGATGTATAAGATAATAGTAGAGAAGAAGAGGTTGATTAAGTTCTTATTGGGTCTAAATAAAAACTTAGATAAGGTCAGAGAGAGAATCATGGGGATGGAGCCTCTCCTCATCATTAGGGAAGCTTTTGCACAAATTCGAAGAGAAGAAAGTAGGAAGAAGCTGATGATTGCAGGAAGTGTGAGTTCATCTAGCACTAAAAGCTCAGCTTTGTGTACACAAAATTCTTCTCATGATTCAAAGCAAAAGTAGAATCATCCTTTATTTGAACATTGTAAGAAATTCCATCACACAAATGAGAAGTGCTGGAAATTACATGGAAAGTTTGTAGATTGAAAACCTATACAAGGGAGGAAGGACCAAGTTAATAAGGCCCATGCTGCTGCGTCTTCCAAAGGGTTGACCGACTCTAGTCCCTTCACCAAGGAATAACTGGAGGTGTTTAAGAAGCTTCTTATCAGCACTACTGAGCAACTTACCAGCTTGATAACACACCAATGTATCATATCCTGCACTTATCTTGCCAACAATGGAAGATCACGACCTTAGATAATAGTAGATTCTAGTGCTTTTGATCACATGATTGGAGACATTCATGCTCTCATTAACTATCAAGAGATCACAACCTCCAAATTTGTTAGACCTGTTGATGGATAACTTCAGGATTGTTGGCAAAAGAGAATTAAAAGTTTTCAAAGATTCATCTTTCTACTGTGCTATATGTTCCTCAATTAGTTTGCAATTTACTTTAAATTAACAAGCTTACTCATGATTTGAATTGTGTTACTAAATCCCATTATAAGTCTTATGAATTTCATGTGGTGGATTCGGGGAAAGTGATTGACAATGTTGAATTTTATCAAGGTCTATACCTTCTCAAGGAGAGTTATTTTCTTAACACAAAATTGCGTTTACTCCACCATCATCTTCTCATCTTTCTGTTGTGTCGGAGCCTGTTGATTGTCGTCCTAGTCATCTCAATTTTCATTATTTTACAAAATTGTACCCCTATCTATTATTAATAAAAAGTCTTTTATTAATGTGAAACTTGCCAATTGGCTAAGTATACTCATCATATAGATTCTCTATCTTAGCACAAACCCTCACATCCTTTCTCGATATTCAACAATAATATTTGGGGACAATTAAAATTAAAAATCATTATTGGAGCTATATGATTTGTCTCCTTTATTGTTGATCACATAGAACTTGTTGGATATTCCTCATGAAAGACAAATTTGAGACTACACAAATTTTTCAGTCATTTTGTGACATGATTTACGCTCAAGTTCAATGCAAAATTTAGATTATCAAAACTGATATTCTAAAGGAATACTTCATCTTGATCCTTGAACCCTATTCTAAAATGAATAGCATCATCCATGTGAGTTTCAATGCTGAGGCTCTACAACAAATGAGATTGCTGGGAGGAGGAATAAACATCTCCTTGAGGCATTTAGGTTTATAATGCTTCTCATGATGCCCCAAAATTTTTTTGGGGAAATGAAGTGCTTACAATCACCTACCTCATCAATAGAATGCCAAGCAGGATCCTTGGATTCAAAGCCCTTCTCTATGTTTTGATGGTAACATACTCTCTTGTTAGAGCATTCTCGTCCAATCTTCCTTTAAAAATATTATGTTGTCTCTTTTGTTTACAATCAACAACCAAGCTGTACAAAGCTTGACCTATAATCTATCAAATATATATTTATTGGCTATGCAACAGAAATGAGTATAAGTGCTGTTATCTCATTACTAAAAAAATATTAGAACTCCATGAATGTTACATTATTTGAAAAATAATCTTACTATCCATAATATGAACTTTAAGGTGAGAGTCTGGGTGATTATTAAATTTGGGACACTACGTGAGATACACTGAACTAGAGGCACCACTACCTATTCCACTTCCCTCTAACCATCCTGCCTCCCAAGTTTCACCACTCGAGGACATTCGTTCTGAGATTGACAACAACGAAATGCACAAGGAACTTTGTGTTTTTAGTAGGAGAAAAAAGTCCACTAGAAAGGATAAAGACAATATGTACCCACATGGCTTCACAACCAAACCTAAATACACACATCTTTGGAGTTTCAAGGGAGGTGGAATCTAGCTGAAGAAAACAAAGAAAGTTGCACAAATTATCTTATCCATTACTATGTTGCCTATTGGAAATTATCGTCTTTTAAAGCTTATGTATATGATCTTGATAGTGCGTAGATATCCAAGT